ATGCAGACTTCTCAAAAATAAACATGTTTTTCAGGAAACATCAATCAAGAGCTAGAATGGAATTTTCCAGTGACCTCAGAGGAATAACATGCGCAGTAATACATGGGCCGCTGCTGTCCCATGGTAAGTTACCGAAGGGGAAAAACCAAAACAACTGAGCGCAGTAATGTTGATTTTATCCAACAGATCTGCTGTTAAGAGCACGAAGGTATGAGTGAGGAATGAGATAAGTGAGACGAACTGATGGAGGAAGCAGGAAGAGAAAAAGGAGAGACTGGCGCAAAGAAACCAAAGCTGTGAGACAAGCCAAGCAGCCTGCTTATTGCTGCACCAGTAAAGAAAATTAATTGTTTGCTATGAATCACATTTAAAAAATCGATACTGATGGTCAACGCATCGAGATCACTGTAGTTAACTAAAACGATCACTTTAGGGGTTTTTAGTTATTATCTGTTAGTAATGCAGCTTGCTTTATGAGGCATTGTTGGATGTGTTTGCTGAGACTCTGGATGTTTATAAGACTGAAAGCAAAATGCTTCCAAAAAGTTCTGTTTGTATTGTAAAACCTCTGCTGAGGGGCCAACGTCGCTCATACAATAACACTTAGAAACACTAAGACTGAACTGAAACTAACAAAAGAAGCTAAAACCAAAAAACTCATTTAAAAGACTGAGGATCACATACAGGGAATATCCTTCCACGTGGTTATGAGAGTGTATGTTCAGGACAGACGAACATGACAGATTCAGGGAAACGAAACAGATGAAATTTGAATGAATGTATGAAACACAGAAAATGACAGCGCCATTAGTGCTAATGGTTTTAGGTGATCTAACATTAAGGTGACATGCATTTTAAATTTAGGCTGCACGCTGGTGTTCAGCTGGACTTGTTTGGTGTGTTGGACTCATCATCAGCTGTGACTTCAAGTGAAAACAGGACAGCAAACATCAAAATGATGATTCTAACAAAGTAGCAGCAAAGTCATAAACAGTCGGATTAGTCACACACACAAAATCCAGGGACTGTAACTTACTGATCATAAAGTCTGCCCGTGCTGATTATGTGGCAGCCGTCATCGTTAAGGGAGGCTCGATAACAACGTGGATTACACTCATTTCTAACAAACGAGAGCCGAGTGCCACAACACATCACCATTTGGCCTACCGTTTGATCCCCACTCTCTACTGCCACAGCCTGCTTACTGATAATTTTCAGCTATATATATTTTAAATCATGGACTTAATCATAGAGTTTATCTTACACAGAGGCTCAGTGAGGGTCTTCAGTACGCCGTCTGTATAATAACTGAAATAAAGTGGTTTTACCTCCATTCATTCGTCCCCACAAACAAGACAGCAAGTGGGTGGGGCTTCTGTGCACCTGAGATGACCCTATAACACAGGGGTGGGGAACTCCAGGCGTCAAGGGCCGGCGTCCTGCAGGTTTTAGATCTCACCCTGGGTCAGCACGCCT